ACAAGAAATGACTTGGTCACAGTATTGTCTCAAGCAGGTCTGTCGGTCGCCAAAGCCAGCCTCCAGTAGAATCGCCCAAATCAAGGATTCCAACTTGCATGGAAAGGAAGTAGCTCCTGAAAGGAGCCAGGCCAGCGGCGGCCAGTCAGACATCATTTCTATTGTCAAACATTCCATGACCCTAACGCCTAACGCCTAACTGCTGACCTAATTCCATGACATAAGTAGCTAAGCCTTACATACATCACAAAGTAACTGGCATGCATTCTTCGACCATTTAATCCAATCTTCTGAAAACAGGTGATTCCTTGTCCCAAGACCATCAGCGGCAAAACCCGTCTTGTGACCGACAAAGGAGGTGGACGTGCAGATGGTTCCGACAGTTCTGAGTCATCTGCGGGTGCATCATCAATCATGTCATCTGAAGATGTCAACCACAACGACTCCAAGAATGTAGCAGTTGCGCTGGACACCCTTGGTGGTGGCAGGAATCATCAACATGGTGGACATGGACCATCAACATCATCCTGCGCTAACTGTAAGTACTACATTGTACTACATGGAACCTGGTACACTGCTGGTGATACGTGTTTTGCTTGTTTACGTGTCTTGCCTGCTTCAACTTCATCTGCTTCTTGTGAAATCTATGTTCAACCAAAATTGATTAGCTTAGCTCAGCTTAGTTAGGTAGTTAGTTAGTTAGTTTGCTAGTTAGTTAGTCAGTCAGTCAGTCAGTCAGTCAGTTAGTTAGTTCGCTAGCTAGTTAGTTAGCGCGTCAGTCAGTCAGTCAGTCAGTCAGTCAGTTAGTTAGTTAGTTAGTTCGCTAGCTAGTTAGTTAGCCAGTTAATTAGCTAGTTGGTTAATTAGTTAGTTAGCTATTTCGACATAATGGACTGGACTAGCCCAGGATCTTAGAAGTGTACTCTTCGATCATCATCAGTTCGTTTTTCTGGTCGGTGCTATCGAAGCCTGACATGGTCGGATGGTGGCAGTGAGTGTGTCTTCCCTGGTGTGGTCCATGAAGTACCACAATGCAAATGGTGGACAATGGTTTGAACTGGACAGGGACAAAGACAAGGAACATAAGTTTATCCATTCTGATGCAAATGATCTTGTCATCCAGTAATGCCGTCTGCAAAGCATCAGAAATATATCCAATTTGTATTTTGCTCGACTGAAGGTGGAGCCGGATGGTCCCGTTGGTCCAAACTCATCCTCACCAGCAGCAGCTTCCTGATTCAAGCTGTGAGATCAAGATTGGTTATAATCAGTCAATCAGTCTCCTTAGTTTTTGTAGTTAGTATTAGTTAGCAGCAAACATCACACAGTTCCGCAACTCAACTAAGGTTCATTTCCCAACAGTTTGACAAAGTCGGCCAGATCCGTTTGCTGAAAGCTCTCTGTTGCAATCTTCAAGGATGATTGCAAGGCATAGTGAAAAGAATCCGTTTGGCGTAGTTCGAGGACCCTCAGTTGAATCAGTGTTGCTGTACTGGACCGCTGTAGGTATTTTTGAATTTGAACTGAACTTATGTCCAATCTCATAAAGTCCATTATATATATATTATTCATTATTCATTGCTAGTTAATATATATATATATTAATATATACTTACTTATTACAGTAAGTTCCTTTTCTGTTGTCCGGGGTCCGGAGTCCAGAGTCTATAGTCCATGTCCACCACCACCGTTTTCGTTTTTGTAACCTATACTTCATGAGATGACATTCACTGTCTCTCACTCGCACTCTCACCCTGCCCTGTCACTGTCACCACAATTTTAGTGATGCCCATTCCCATTGCCCAGAAACAGACCCATGTATTTCACCAGTTGCCAAATGCTGTAGGCTCGTTGCCCTCCCTTCTTTCCCATGACGGTTGGAAGCAACTCCCTTTCCAGGTTCTGTCGCAGCTGGTCCTTCATGGTGTCTGCGACCTGTGCGCATGCATCAATGTACATCAATCTGTCCAATGTCCATTGTCCATGCAGTGGAATTCTCAGCAATATCTTGCCCATGCAATCTGATTTCTTGTTATTGTTTCCCAACCGCAACCAACCGGCTCACCAGCGCAGCCTTCATCAAAGGACAAAGTGCACCCATTGCTGCTCTGAATTTGTTCACCTAGCGAGAAATCAGAAAGTGCTGGCACCCTGACTCACCGACCTTCAATTTTCTTGTCCCACCACTACCACTCTGATTCACATCACATCACCTATTAAAGTGTCATGCCATTGTGACAGCAATCCACCCACCCATCCTCACCTCCTCTTGTGTACCATGAGACAATATCGGCTGTGCTGCGTCTAGTAGTTGATCATAGATGTAGGCAGCACTTGCAGCTACGTTCTCCATGCCAGCGCAGTGCTGCCGTTGCAGCTAGTAGATGAATCAGAACAAAACGCTGCTTTGCTGCCGTTGCTTCTAAAACACATTCCTGTTTTCATTCATGGTGGTTCTTTCTTTGTAGCCAAATTATCCCAACCACTGAACGACTCAACGCTGTGTGAACTATTTACTTGCTTTCTGACTTCTCTCTGTGCTTTAACTCCTTGCCATTGCCTTCCAATGTGTTTGAGCAAACCAATGTTATGTTGGGTCTGGCCCAGTGTCCAATGCGAAAGGTTCCATTCACTCAGTGCACCCTTATCAATGCCACTGAAGCCACAAACTCCAATCTTTACATACCTGATTAAATTGGTTAGCTGTGTATCAAACCCACCTTTACCATATCTTATTTATTTTTTTGCACTTTTCCCGGTGTAGGTTGTGCAAATTCACACTCCAAAAACCCAAAACCGAGTTTCGGAAATTCACGTGAAGAAATCATGACAGGATTCCTCCGTGCTTTTTTTTGGTACAAACAGACTAAAACGCACCGAACAAAGAGTCGAAACCACAAACCCAAAGGATCAGTCCAAGACCGGACGTTCCAGGGCTTGGTGTGATCGAACATGTCTTGTTTCGGAGCATGTCTTGTTGGCCCTTCTACCACGCACCGAGTCGAAAATGAAGATTCTTCCGGAACAGAATGCCAAGCGGCCGTTGTTGGAACGAGGACGTTCACCACGCGGACAGTAGGGAAGCCTTCCAACAAAGGCATCCGAGAGATGTGGAAGTTAAATTATCAAAACTAGTCTAGGGGGATCAACAAAACGTGCATATCCAGGATTGTATATGATTACGTACTGATTGCTTTCCTCTAGGAAACATTGAAGAAACCTCTGACAGGCAAGACTTTTCTTTGTCGCATGGTCCCTCCATGTCCGGCTTTCGCCCCTTACGGCCCCACCTTTGCACGTCATTGGGGCCACCAGGCGTTCCATCCAACCTCTGGTGCCGTCGGTCGGAGTTCCACTCCCCCAAAAAACATGCTTTTGGGGCTGGTTTGGACCCACCCTATTTGGGCGCGCCAAGATGCTTCAAAAGCTTTGGACCTTCTTCTGGATCGATTTCCACCTGCACCTCAGTGCTATGCGCATTTTGCGGATCCAGCACATCCAACTCTTGGATCCTCGAAGGAACCGCGGGCCTGCTGGCCACCAACTTCGACGATCGCCAGCTTTTCCTCATCCTTGGAACTGCCATCTCTCTTTCGAGTCTGTCTATGATGTGTGTTGAGACATACCAAAGACCAAGCGTCTTTGCTTGTGTTTCAACATATAATCTGATATAATATCATTTGTCATCGATAATTATCCTTCCCCTTTCTACTGTTTCTGAAAGTCTGACACGCAAACCCTCTTCATGACAAGCACGGCACTTTGACGCCAAAGGGCATTACCAGCAAGGACACTACTAGTAACAGGTCCATTTCTATTAGTAACAAGAAGCTAGTAGTAATAAGGGCCTCGCTACTAGGAGCAAGGACGCTACTAGTAGCTCCCGGCAGTACTACTAGCAACAAGCAGCTATTAGTAACAAGGGCATCGCTACTAGGAGCAAGGACGCTACTAGTAGCTCCTGGCAGTACTACTAGTAACAAGGGCATTGCTACTAGGAGCAAGGACGCTACTAGTAACAGGTGTATTTCTATTAGTAACAAGATAACAAGGGCATCCCTACTAGGAGCAAGGACGATACTAGCAGATCCTGGCATTACTACTAGTAACAAGATGCTACTAGTAAAAAGGGCATCGTTACTAGGAGCAAGGACGCTACTAGCAGATCCTGGCATTACTACTAGTAACAAGATGCTAGTAGTAAAAAGGGCATCGTTACTAGGAGCAAGGACGCTACTAGTAGCTCCTGGAAGTACTAGTAACAAGAGGCTACTAGTAACACGGGCATCGCTACTAGGAGCAAGGACGCTACTAGTAGCTCCGGGCAGTACTACTAGCAACAAGCAGCTACTAGTAACAAGGGCATCGCTACTAGGAGCCAGGACGCAAGGACGCTACTAGTAGCTCCTGGCATTACTACTAAGAAGAAGCTACTGGCAACACGGGCATCGCTACTAGGAACAAGGACGCTACTAGTAGCTCCTGGCATTACTACTAGTAGCAAGCAGCTACTAAGCCGCACTTCATGACCAGCACGGTCTGAGGCCGAAGGGCATACATGGTGCATCGCGACATGGTCGCAATCGCCGTGGTGGGAGCCATGGCGTCCGAGCGCGTCCGAGCTTCGTCAGGCGCTTGACCCGTCTTTGGAGAATTCCCGGCTGCACTTTGCACTGCAAGAGGGCCCTGTTCGAAGGTGTAGCATGATGTGATGTAGCCAGTTCGTAGGCAGTGCACTCTCAGCTTTTGATCGGTAACGCAGCGATGTTCAGGGACGACTGCAATGATTCTCGCGCTGAACTGTTGAACATCATCCAAAGCCAAGTATGATGCAAGACAATACCGTGTGTCATTTGAAGAAGTTGCTGCACCCCAAAGTGTGGAGTTTTGGATACTATCATCCGAGCCAACTTGACTCAAGGCAGGCTTGGTACAACGCTACGTACAACGGTACGTACACCAAAGCTTTGTCAAGAAAACGTCCCTAGTCCATCCATGTCCTCTGTTTCCTGCAAAGTTCTTCCCCACTGCTGTGCATGGGCAACCTCCAGCATGCCGTCGTACGCCTGGCACGGAAGCCTGGAACTGACTCACTCCTCCATCTGGCAATCCCGGATGTGGGTCAAGTGGCCGTGTACTGTGGAGTCTATAGTGGTCCCCAAATAGATAGAACTAATTGCTATCTAGTCACTAGTCACTAGTCTACTGGGATTTGCTTTGGTATCTATTCGAGGGTCACCAGCTCAGAACCCCCCCTCAGTGGCTCAATTCTCAAGACCATAGATGTCACAAGCCCATATGCAGACTACCAGGAAGTGAGCCAAAATTATTCTTCACGTGGGTACTATATGTTGTATACAGTAAGTCTATTGAAATCCGCCAGAAAGACAAGACGCCATGTTTTACGCCATCCTTTCGCCTCGGTGCCCCAGAAGGCCAACGGGGACTGCCAGCTTGCCACACCAGACATCACCTCGGCACATCGCTCAAGTTGAGTGACGCGCAAAACGAAAAAGCGAACGGATGGAAATCACCAAAGGATGGCCATGGATGGCCATGGATTTTCTTCAAATGATTGACTAATTGGAGGCAATCCCGAAACATATACACATACTTAAATTTATATATATAATATATAATATAGATTATAGATATGACTAAGAAAATGTTCAAGCATATGAAAACAATTGGTCTAGTCTATTTTGGTTTCTTTCTGTTCGACTTCACCTCTCCCACCTTCTATGACGAACTATGGCAAGTCTTGAAAAATGTTGGCCTTGTGTGCAGGCCAAAGTCACTTGGTCACTTGCATCATCCAACAGTAAATGGGCTGTCTTCCAGTGATCCTGCCTGACGAAAAACGGCGATGAAGATCCAATCCACAGGGCTGTCGTTGTACCTGTCCACTGGAAGCTCAAGTACACAAAGGATGAATGTGTCATGAGTCCTGTTTTTTGCATTGGAACACAACATATCTTCAAAAATGCTCAGAAAGTCCTCAAATCGCCCACAAGTCACCAGGTTCATATCACATTTGAGACACTCAAGCTGTTTTTGACCCATCAAATGCACTCTGATCAGACTGCAAGTCGCAGGCGCGCGGTGTCAAAGGCCCTCCCAACGGATCCGTGGTCGGCGGAGACTCTCGCTGAGCCTCCAGAAAAGCCTGGACTCATTTGGACATAGGTGCATTTTTTCGGTAAACCGAGTTGAAAAAAATATATGATCCAATATGCTTTCTGTATACCTTCAACTTCAACCTTTCTGTGTTCTCAGTACTAAAGTATGTTCGATCCTCCGTCACGCGGTTCGACCCTCGGGGCACTTTTTCATCCGTGCGAACTGAGGGCTTCTTGGTTTGACGAGAATGCGCCCGCTTTTCCGGAAGGACGACTGGTTGGAAAAGATCCAAGCCGGAGCTTGTTTGCATCATCATCTTCGTGCCTCTAGGCTTTTGTAGCGGTTGTCACCTCGCAGAGGAAGATTGAGGCCAAACTCTTGGATCAGCCAAAGTTGGGGCCCTGCAACAAGTTCCAGCAGTTTTCTTGTGCTTCAGCAATTAGTTTGATCTGAGACCCTGGGGTCCGCACTGCCAGTTGCCTTCCTTCCAACCTTCAACAAACTGTGGATGGTGACTTGCAAAACAAGGCGTCAACATGACACCACTGGATGGATGGCGATTTGATCCCAACAATTTATACCGGGCTCGGGGCCATCCAAGTCCTGTCCAATGGACGGCCACCTGCTGACTACCCTATAGACATCCCTAGACTACCGAGGGATCTCCATATTGGACACCCATCAGGTGGCCCGCCTGCGATCCAGGTCGATGCGGAGGGCGACGACGTCGCGCCCGTGGGCTCCGCAGTAGTGTGGCGGCAGTCCATGTTGCGGCCACCTTGAAAACCCAATTAAGAGTCAGCCCTGGGTTGGGAAATCATGTGAAACCTGCTGCAGATCTGAAGAAAATGCAGCAAGACTGACATAGACCAAAGAAACTCAAGCTAAAATCCACTTTGGGCGCTTCCTCAAGTGGCTAAGATCTGCGAAGTATCCATGTCCAGGCCGGGCGATTTCACGGGTTGACCGCCCAAGTACCAGACCGAGGCTGACCACGTCGATCTGCTTCGGGTGCGTTCGGTCTGCCCTGGAGATCATTCGGAACTGACGAGGGCTTTAGATCCATGCTAGGCTATTAGATTATACAATTCTGTAGGTAATTCTGAAGAGAATGCTGTGTTTTCATGTACCCCATTGAAATTGCGAGAGTTCCGGTCCCAAAGCTTGAGGAGAGCGGGACCAGCTGACCACGTTGTCGCGCCTCGCACCGTGCCTCGCACGGGCGAAGAGGTCCTTTGAGGCGGATGAAAATGCGGAGCCGTGGCTGGAGCCAGTGCAACCAACTCCATGGAGTCTGCTTTGGTGCCAGTTGGAACCAGTGGGACTAATCAAGGTGGCTTGATGCGACTTGATGTGGCTTGTCTGGCTTGATGTGGCTTCCAGCTGAAAACCCTTCTCCGATTTTGGGTCTTTCCCAAACGACGTCTTTCCATGCGGAAGCTTTCTCTAGCTTCTCCCTAGCAGTTTGCAAAAGTCATCGATCATATATAATATTTGCAGCTGGGTGATGTGGGCGGAATCAGGTCTGACTCACTTATCTTCAGCTATAGACTTCCCCACGAGGAAGCTTTGAGCCGAGCTGCTCACAAATCAACAAATGCCATGTTGCACGACCCCCTGCCTCTCTTGGGCGCCGGTGAAACATCACCTTAACCCTCAAAACTGAGCATCTCAATGTCCTTAAATGTTCAGATGTTCAGGCAATCAAATGTTTGCCAGGTCCTTTTTGGATCTCCTGCGGGACCGGCGAAAATTGCTGTCTATCAGCAGTTCAAGTTGTTGGCCGTCACTCGCGAAAAGGTGCACTGCGTCGTGTCTATCTGCCGAGGCACCGCTTGAGAAGTGTGACCATTCTCTTGAAGGCTCTACACTACAAGGTTGTGGCTGGTACAGAAAGGAAAATTGAATTTAAAAAACAATATGAATGAATTATATTGAATTATGAATCCTACTATATATACTATACACAGTAAGGCCTCTAGTCACATCTAGGAAACTAGTGGAACCTTAGCAAGGGATGAAAACCATTGGTGGCGAAACTGTCTCTCCTCCCGGTTGATTCTGCGATAAATTGTATCACAATGCAAAACTCCCACGGTGGGAATCCGCTGCCTTACACAGGGCCTTCCACAATTCACGCAAATGCAAGTTCCATGTACCTGGCAACTTGTTTCTTCTTCTTCTTCAGACAAACAGTGTCTGCCAGCACAATAGGCATGTCTCAATCAAAGCTGTTCAGCAAACAAACTCACAAAACAGGCCAAGCAGGCCAAGTCGCTCATGAAACAGGAGCTGCTGTCCAAAGCATTTCAAGACTGGCCATCTGAAAAACTCGCTATCTCAAACAGTGGAAAAAGAAGTAACTTTACTTCGAGTGGTCCCCATCATGACACTTCAATCATGCGTGTTCTTGCCATGGTGAGGAGCATGTTGCCATGGTCGTGCGTTTTGTGGCTTTCGATTTTGGGGTCCTCGGTGTTAGGGAGTTCACGTCGGGGTGTCGCCAGGGTTCCAACAGTGCTACCCTGTGACCACTGCCACGCAAAATGCCACACGCACAGGCAATTATATTGTTGTGGTTGTGCGCTGTGGGCTTGTGGCTGTGGTTGTGGTTGTGCGTTTGTAGTTGTGATTGTGTGTTTGTGATTGTGTGTTGTGGTTGTGTTTTGTGGTTGTGTGTTGTGGTTGAGTCCTGCGGCTATGTGTTTGTGATTGCTTGTGGTTGTGATTGTGTGTCTGTGGTTGTGTGTTTGTGGGTGTGTGCTTGTCTGTGTTTGTGACTGTTGTTGTGGCCTTGGTTGGTGGTTGCGTGCTTGTGGTTGGTGGCTGTGTGGTTGATCTGGCGATTGCTGTTGAGGTCCGGCACTGCCCACTGCGATGTGGCGCCTGCGGTTGAGGTCCGGTAGTGCCCACTGCGATCTGGTGCTTGCGGTTGAGGTCCGGTGATCTGGGGCTTGCTGTTGAGGTTCTGGGCGGAGGAGAAGAACGAGGAGGAGAACTAGGCTATCTGTAAAGATCTAACAACCCTCACCTGACAGGTGGGGAAAGAAACACTATAGTCTATAGCCCACTCCTGATCTCGGGAAGAAGACCGAAGAAAAACCGGAGACTGCCCGAGACCCGCCCGCCTGGAACGCCTAGTCCTCGTGCTCCTCGAAGGGGTCTCGGAGGTCGGAAGCACCTGGTCTCGGAGGTTGGATTTTCGGTTCAAAAGAGAAAGGGATGAAGAAGTAACAAGGGAACTCCGTTTTCCGGCCCTCTCCTGAAAGATCACAAAGAAGACATGGTCATAGAATCTTAGAATACAAACACATCAGTATATATATATATATAACTCTTCCCAAGGATATCCTGTGCCTCAATAATCCTGAACTTGTCTGGGTAGTAGGCTTTCTTTGTAGCTTTCTGCCCACAAGATGTCCAGCAATTAGTTAATGAGAGATATGGCATGCTCTGAGGCACCGCCATCACCTGTTATCTTGATCCCACAGCACTACACGTGCGACCAGCCAACTTGCAAGTCAAAAACAGAAGTAGCTCTTTCTTCCTGTTCTTCAACGTCCATGGCATCATGATGGGCCTGATCTAAACAAAGGGCCAGGGGCATCATAGATCCAACATTAAGCACCTTCTCTGTTGCATTTCCAGTCTCAAGGAGTCCACGTCCCGCCTGGGCCGAAGGCTGTCCACGTCGAGTAGCCCACGATGCCCACCTCAAGGATCGTCCCACCGACCAGAGACGCAGGGAGGCGAACCCCAACAAAGGGAAGACCGGGACCCTCTGTCACTGTCTCTTGGACTGTCACATGAGCACTACTAGTAGCGAAGCAGCGGAACATGCAAGAAGGACAAAGAAGATCACACGCCATGTTTTCACCGATGCGGCCATGAACGTAAAAAAAAGGTCTCGAGACGAAACTGCAGTGGGTCAAGTAGAGGTACCGTTCAAGTCGGGTGTGCTCGTGGTTGCAAAGCTGTGTGCTTGTACACGGCGTAGTGTGGGTGTGTGTGTGTGTCGCTTCAGCGATCCCTTTCTTGGAGATCTGATCGAAATCGGTGTTCCTTAGTTGCGTGCGCAAATGAGAAATCTCCCCTCATTGCTTTCAAGAGTAGATCGCGAGAAACACTACCTTTGGTCATTCCATCTGATAACATGTCTCTTGTATCACACCAGATCACATGATCTGGCGCACACTTAGTGACATCTCGAAGCCACATTAAATGTGGAAACAAAGATTTCTCTGCTGGCAATCGAGTCAAAGAACCTGTCCATGTGTCAAAGAGGTTCCGTGCGTCCACAACCACAGAAGTTCTAAACTTAAAGTTCGACCTTTCTCTGGCTGCTCGCAAACCCTCAGCGCTTAAAGGACAGGTCAGAATCTCTTGCAGGGATATTACGAGAGGAATCAATGAATTGACAGAACCTACGGCAGCGAGGGTCTCTGAACTAAAAGTACTTCTTGTTACAAGTTTAAGACTCTGGCTGCTGGCGTCGAGCAAATGACACTTCTGCTTTTGGTTTTCAAAACCCACTAAAAAGACTGTGCCGCGGACACCGTATCCCTTTGTTTCTGATTCCTTACAGAATGAAGCATCTGAAAATACGATGATATGTCGCGAACATTGCATGAATGGATACACAATGCAAGCCTTTTGCTTCTGCAGTACTTTCACAAGTGAGTTCAACTTTCGGATGTGTTGGTATTTTGGTTTGTGGGTTTGTCGTTGCAAGGCTATCACGTACACTGCCAACCAGTGCTGAGTCAACAATGTGTACGCAACAGCTCCAAGCAGTGACCAGTACAATCTCATTACTGCCTCAGCGCAGTCTTCTTCGAGCGGTCGCCCAACCGTGTCTGGATGGTGGATTGTACGAAGAGCTTGAATGTATTCGTTTTGATCTAGAGTGATTGTTCCGTTGGAGCTTCTTGAATGTCTGATTCCTACACAAGTGAAATGGTCGTCATTTCGATCGCTTTTACCAAAAGTTTCTTTCAAAGCATTAAGTAACAATTGCACTTCACTTTCTTCCCCAGCTATTTTGAGATCATCAACATGTTTTACGATGATGAGTACTAGGCGACCGTCTCTATGTTTTACCTCGCATTCAGGGTCCGCTGCTAGGGGTCTTAAGCCAACTCTATCGCTTCTAGTGACTCGTGCAAGCTTTAAACTAAATGCCTTTGGGGCGTCCTTGCAGCCCGTCCCTGGTTTCAGACATTTTAGTACATGAAAGCGTTCATCATAATGCTTATATTCCGGCAAAAGACGAAGGATGTGAGCTGATTGAGGTGGAACTGTGAAGTGAACCACCCTCTCGGCCTGCCCAGTGGCCTCAGCCATCTCTTTATATGTTACCCCTTGTAGGAAAGCTTTATTAATGTCTAATGAAAGGAAGGACCATTCCGGGTGGCAGGCTGCTTCTGACAGCAAAAGCTTTTGCGACAATCTGCTGCCTGTTGCTGAGTGATTATCCAAAGAGTCTGCACACCATTCTTTGAAACCTCTGAGCGCCATACGCATACGAATAATGCGGCTTTCATACGGTTTTTCAGGGTCCTTAACTTTCCATTTTGCTACGAACCTAGAATCGATGATGTTGGTTGCACCTTGCCTCGGCACCATCTTGAAGCACTTATAGTTATCCCAAATTTTGAACTCTTCAAAAATAGCTTCTTCTACCTTTTGCTTATGTTGAACAAGTTCTTCTTTGGTCAGTAAATCGGAAGCACGTTTCACCACTTCAACCTTGCTGCCTGTATGGTACATCTTGATGGCGAAGGCTTCATCTGCTCCAAGTTTGTCCGCGTCACCAAAACAATTTGCCATGTTCGGCAAAACCAACAACTCAGTGATTTGTGGTCCTTCTGGTCTAGTTGGTGGTTCCCCTATACTGAAGGTACTGATGTTTGAAACCAGAGTCATGTCTTCAGGAAAAACATATGGACTACCGGGGATTGTGTCATTTTGGTCGATGGGATGCGCAACAGTATCTTGATACAGAAACCACAAGTCCTTTAGCTCACCGGTATCATATTCGATGACCTCCCTATCGAAATGTTCTTCGACAAAAGCCATGAAAGCTGCGTGAGGTTCAGGTGTGTACTCGCTTTCGTTGGAACCCTCTTGAATGGTGGACAGCCTATCTCTATGGGTCTCCGGGACTATTATGTTCTCTAAGGCCTCTGTACCCGTTTGTGCAGCAGTGGCATCTACACTATCACAAAGACCTGAAGGGTTTGTACTGTTATGCACAAATTGGATGAAAGAGGCTCTTTCCCAATTGTCACCTATAATGTCAGGCATGTGCAAATACGGTCCTTCAGTACTTTGGATCAACGGATCTGACGAACGGCAGTTCAACCAAAACAGAAGTGTGGAATGCGTTGACTGGGGCATTGCTGCCACAGTCTTACAGCCCTTCCCAACTCTTATTGCATGACATTCGTCAAAGTGCCACACGTTTTCGACCATGTAATGCAGAGCTTGCAGTAAAGGACCGTGTTGACCTGTTGCATGTGTGAAATGGGCCTCGCCCTCGGGCGCGGCGATCAACCCTAAGGTGACATATTTTTTCCACGGCAACGATTCGATACACCTCTTGATGACACTGACAGCTTCCACAGTTGTCAGGCTGGCAAAAAGGTGAAAAGATATTACTGCATACAGTGTATGTCGAACATCCTGCAAGCGGCACGGTCTGGGTTTACCGTGAATCTGGACTATCACTATGCCCTCTTCAGGTTTAGATTCCACTACCTCTACAGGTCCTTGCCAACCCGTGACGTCCTTGCCGGTGGGTCGATGGTAGTCTACAAGATCACCCTTATGATATGGAGTCTCTGTAGCGGCTACGGCCTTGGCTCTGAGTGCCCGATTGGTTCGGGCAAGGCTGGTTGCTTGAATCATGGATTCAAGAGCGACTGTTCTGACTTTATGTCTAGCCTGCTCTGAAATGGGATCAAGTTCAAGCTCGGCACCGTCATCGTCGGGCACAGGAGGCATCATTGCAGGCGTTCTGCCATAGATGCACTGATAAGGCGTCGCGCCTCCAACATGTATCAACGCGTTTCCGGCAAAAACTGCTTCTGAAAGAAGGGAGTCCATGTTCGTTTGCACACCTTCTCGAACAAGTTGGCTCTCAATGCAATGCAATGTTGTTCTTAAAATGGCTCCTCTCCGCTCTATGAAACGGGCGTGCTGTCCTGGTGCCCTAATCTTTAAGCTTATGCCTAACCTCTTTAATTTAGCTTGTGCTGAATCACCAGTGATGCCCAATTCTCCGTCACTTATTAACTGCTGCATGGGGCCATGGATGCTTAGCCAAATTTTGTGCATTGCACTTAGAAGTTCTTCTTCTTGTCGAGACCGAACTAAAGCTGCAGCGTGCCATCGTGTAGCGCAGCAAATCATGTGGAATATCGTGTGTTCCTTGTAGAACATGAGGTCCACTTCAACGTGTTCGTTGAACGCTGTGCTCATTCTCATGGTAGGAATGGTCTTGTTGGCTGGCCTAGCCCAAGCACGACATTCACGGCACGTGTCAACTACCTGAGTCACCTTGTTCAAAATTGAGGCCGGCAGGCCAGCTGAGTGCAGCACTCGTCGCATAGCCTCTTTGCTGCAGTGCCACCACCTGAGATGCAATTTCCGCAATTCGCGCATCTGCGTGTCAGGTGATCCCACTGACAAGGCCTTCAATGATCTGCCAACATTGAAACGAGTCCAATCACTGTGGTGTTCCGTGCCTTCAGCAGCGTCACGAAAAGTCCGACGGCTTCTTTCTGCAAATTCTCTAGTTGGTTCGGGTCGATCAATAGGGACTATATCCATGGTGGTTGTGAGAAAAGGCGTCAAGTCTACATCCTTTGATGGGTGGAAAATGGTGATTGACAGGTCGGCCAATCCGGGGAGGATGGCAGCAGGATTATCCAATTCACCAAGATTAACGGCCAATTCCAATTGATACCATCGTGGGCCTACTCTGATCCACGTAGTGCGAAAACGGCAATGCTCAAATTCTTTCCTTGGCAGTGCAAAGTTTGCGGCCTTGGCAATGATCAATGCAGGGTCGCCGTTGCACGCAGTGGCCCACGAGCGCAGGTCACTGAGGCGAAGGATTTCAGGCGGAGGTCGCTGAGCCACCTTCCCATCATGTGTGACTGCTCTCTCATGCGCGCGATGTTCGTCCACTTCTCCTAAATCACTCCCGTCAGGGAGCTGCGGCTGCAAATCGGCAGAAACGGATGCCGAAGCAGGCCTGGCTGGCGCTCTTGGATGCTTACCTGTTCTTGGGACCCCTACACGATGTGAAAGGACAGCGTGCTTGCAGTCAGGACCATGCGTATGGTCCGGATGTCCAAATGGTCGATGCTTCTTGCAGGCAGGACAATCCCAGATGACCGGCGTCACATCCGGCCACAAGCACTCACCTATCATTCTTGTATGTCTAGGGTCGAATTTAGATTGTCCTCGGCAACCCGGGCAACGACGCCAAGATTGTTGCGCATCATCTTCTACGTCAGCCGTGCTCGTGCCCCTGGTCGGGTACGCTTGTTCAGGTGCAGGGTACGAGGTCATGAGGTGAATTTTCAATTTGATGATTCCCTCGCAAACCTTCTGAGCCAATGCCCAGGGCCAAACTTCGCACCTTTTGGACCTGCCACCATCTAGAGATTCATGTTTGTGCCTGCGATCACATTGGCATGACCTTAGAGGTTCCAAAAGTTTGGGGTGATTCGCGATGAAATCCGTAGGCTTCTTAACTAACAGGTTGTTTGGACCGCGCTGCCCAAGCATGCATTGATGGATAGTAATGCAATCCACCGAAGGCAGATGGCAAACTATGTTCCATGGATGTTCAAGATAGATCCAGCTACCTTGCGGCTGCTCTAAAACAAAATATCTTTCTTCCTGGTCCTGTAGTAGAGCAAGCTCACCACAAAAGCGCGCATGGGGCGCAGATTCTTGATACGTTCTCTCCCAACCTTGTGGGCGAATACGATAATTCTGGTTTGAATGAGCTCCAAAGGCTGAACAGCGGGGAGTTAGCACGGCAACCAAAGGCTTATGTTTTCGAAAGTATTGCCGAACTAGAGACTGCTGCTGTGTGTCATTTAGGTCACAGTCCGTGACTAGGTCAAAGTTGCAACCAACCTTGAGATGTTTGCGAATTGCGATTCTTGAGGTTCTGGCAGTGCCCCCACAAACTTCCACTATGTCAACCTTGGATTGTATACAGGCTAACACATGCAAAGCTTCTTTCAAATCAGTTGCGTAATACGTTTGAATACCTTCCAATTTCAATTCAAAATTGTCAAGAATATCCACAGCTATGAAAGTCAAGGCTGCGTCCAACGCTGGTTCTGCCGGCTCATTCAAATCCAAGAACTCGGACAATGCGGACGTGTCGGTGCCACAGTCATCGTACTTTTCTTCAACGTGCACGGCCCGGGTTCGAGGCTTTATACCGGCTTCTTTCATTTTCTTCAACCTTTGCTTCTGTCGCATGCGTTCTTCTGTTGGGTAACTTTGAAACGGCTGCGGAACATCTGGCGGCCAGACTGCTGGCTGATTTGCAGTTGAACCATCATGAGTAGCACGTGCAACATCGGCAGGGACTTCCTTAGAGCCGTTGCTGGTTGTAGCTACGAACGAATTATGGAAAGGTTCGTCGCAAACCAAACAATGACTTATACCGACTGGCATCAGTAACTGGCACGTGCAACATTCCGCGTACTGGGTTGTAATTGTCGGGTATACTTCAGGGTTCTGGTCTACGATATTAGAGTCGGGTGTGTCGTGGTGCAAACTGCGTCCTGTTATCGCGTTGGCCTGCTGGATCACCAACTGCTTCAAAACTTCCTGGGCAATAGTTTGCTGCAGTTGCATCCGAGGTCGACGCGAAATGCTGGCGTCATGAGTGGACCAATCCATTCTGTGCTCATTCTGGGCCACCTGGCACTTGCAAATGTGGGACTGTGCTCGAGGATTTCCAAGGTACACAAAACAGATCTTGCTGGGTTGCGTCTGCTGCTTATTGAGCTTGAGTTTAAAATGACAGGCTCTGTGGTACGACTTAGCAAAATTATGCTCAGAAACCAACGTCAACAAGGCTGTGTGCTTCCAGTTGTTGCCAAATGCACCAAACAGACCTGCCGGAACGCCGCATTCACTTGCGAGCTGCAACCATCTGCAAAGCTGGGTCAATGCCGAGTGCATTCGATCTTTAGCAATGTGTCTGCCAGGCAGTGGCATGTCTATCCACAAAAGATCGTACAAACCTTTCGTAATGTCCTGCCCAACATTTGCAGTGGTTCCGGTGTTGATTTGGTGCGGCGAAAACCGAATCGCCTTCCAACCAACGTTTTGCAATAGCACAGACAGAGACGGAGCGTCCTCAAAGACTAGCGCGCAGCGCTGTTGGATCGATGAGCTGGTGGTCACGGATTGTTGCACTATTGGATAGTAGCTCTTTTGCCTGGTTGGCAAACTGTGGCGCGAACTCGTCGCCTCTACAGTGATGATGCTGGTTGACTGCTTTCTGCCTCGACTGAACCCTTAGGGTCGACATGCAGAATCATTGGTTCTGGTTGAACTCCTACTTGTGAATCTTGCTTCAATTCATCCCAATGATCAATGGTCATGATCAAATGCCCTGAGGGAGCTTTGGACAGGGGACGGCGACGGCATGAGGTGAAGTCCTCGTGCTTAGCTCCCGGCAATGGCACGAACAGTGTCTCGTTCCCAGGGCTCATACTCAGTGTGGCAGACAACGCCGACAGCGACTTGAGACCCAGTAGCGCAGGTAGGCGGGCACCACTTCCGCCCACCACCGGTGCCTCGAAGGCATTGAGACAACACCGTTTTCCATCGATCGAGAGCTTGCAGGCTATCGGAATGGACACTGTCCACTCACATTTCTGTTGGCCTTCACCTACACCCTGCACATACATAGGTTTCATCTTCCATTGTCTTGGTCGATGTCCTTGAGCTAGCGCCATTTTCGCGAAAGCTCTAGCAGTGTTCTCACCGATCAAATTTGTGTATGCTCCAGGGTCTATGATGATGCCGGACCTGTTTGGCAATGAGATCGAGTGATATGCTTCTGCCGGTGCGACATCTTCCCCAGGCCACCACGGGAATGTACCCAAAGGGTCAGGATCTGCTTCTTCTGCTGGCGACATGAACGGTGTGCCAAGATTCTGTGGACCAATGGCGGGCTGAGGAGAATGACCTAGCGGTGTGAAGATGTTGTACGAATCGGGCTGCGGCGTCGACCGATCAGGAGTGACTGGTCTGGATGACACATGGCTGGACTGAGGTCCTCGGCGAGTTGGCTCTGCCAACGGGATTCGATACCTAGCCACTACATGACATCCCCCTCTGCACACTGGACAAACAATGGCCTCTCCTTGGCACATGTATGTCGTCCAGCACTCCACGTGGAACAGGTGTCGGCAAACCAGTCTCAATACCGATTCGTTCGTCTCGAAAGACTCTCTGCATAAAGGGCACATGTCAGACGCTCCATCATATTCAACGTCCTCGGTGTTGATATCCCGGACCTTCGACCTATGCACTTGCTTCTGCTGCCGATACCTTTCAACTTGGCGCTGCACTTGGTGGAATTCATTCAACTGTGGTCGATACTGAGGATCGAGCTGCGAATGCACTTGCACTGCTGGTCGGTTCATGCTAAATGATGGCAAATGCTGATGTCGTCGGTTGGCAATATGTTGCTGCACATAATGGAAATCATCTATCTGTGAGCGCAGCGGACCTTCGATTCTGGACACTTGAGCTTCTCTCAGGGTTGGAGGACTCGGGAGTTCTGGTGGTTGCGACATATTCAAAAATTCGAACTCTGGACGCATGGCAAAGTCAGGAACACTTGGCATGGGTGGTAAGGCTGACACGATCGGCCAGGGCAAGAGTTCACGCAGCTCCTCTGGCATGCGGGCCATGGAAGCCCAGTTCATGCTCGGCGGGTGCGAAGGGTGAGATGGTGGCGGCGGTGTTGGGCTTGTTCCCGCCGGCTGCGATGCAGGTTGGACTCGATGTGGCTCTGTTTGGTTCGATTCCTGACGAGAACTTCGGACTGTTCTAGCAGGACCATACGCACTACTTTCTGACGGACTGCGAGATGCTTGCCTGACAGGTTCGGACGCAGCAACCGATCGACGGAATCCTAGATTACCAAACGGAAACCCAAAGAAACCTCGACTGGCATTTGGTTCTGTTGGTGCTGGCGGACCGAACGATCTTGGCATGGACACGGGCAAGGACCACGACTGGCTCGTGGCAGCACTCCATGGATCCTGCTGCATGAATGGGTCCTCTTCGTCAGCTTGAGCCTCCTGCGTCATGTAGACGTTATGCACCCGCCGACTCTGATCTGCTTCGTCTGTGTTCATGGCAAATGTGACAATCTGTGGACGGCTCAAAGCTTGACTGGACAAGTCGGCCTCATTCGTGATGATTCCGGCCAAAGGACCTTCATCTTCGACCACTGTGGACATGGCATGGTTAGCAAAGAATGTTGTCGGTTGACTGTTTCCTCCTGATGCATGACGGCGCGGACACGAGCCTGCAAGATGCTCAGTACTTCCACATTCATAGCAACGCATGGTCTGACCGTCAAGGTCTTTGGGGTTTCCTCTGCGGCCCTTTCCTTTGCCTGGCGAACGATGGCCTCGGAAGGCCGGCATGGCTTCTTGCACCTCCATGTCATTCATGTCAGCAAGAAGTGCAGTCACTGGATGTTTACCCTTCTGGCCCTTCCCTTTGCCAACCGTGAATGTGGCACTGGAGTTCTTGCCTTTTCCTTTGAAACCTTTGCCTTTGCCTTTTCGTCGAGTAAACCTCTTAACATACCTACGAACAGTCCTTGTACCTTTCTGCATAAACTTCCGCCACTTGTGTTTGGCGGTGCGATATGCCCAGAAAAGGTCTTGCGCAACACGGCTGGGATCCTGAGAAGCGTCCAGCTCTACAGAACTAGCACTGCCGGAACTGGTGTCTGAATCGGTGACGATGTCTTCATCTTCGAATGCATGGTATGCATCTGACATTTGGGGATGGGCGCTTGCGTGCGTGGCAAATGCATGTTGACCGGATAACCATGGTGACCATGACCCACTCAACTCCTCAGTCTGCCAAGAGGCTGGTTCCCAGCTTTCTTCCTGGGCAAGAAACGCTGTGTGCGCTGAGTGCGATGTGGCGGTTCGGAGGCCTTCTCGAAGGTTCCCGGGCGCTCTTTCAAGGATGTGGCCCATCCTACGTAACGAGGTTTTCAATTGGGTGAACTCTGCTTCGGTGGAAGGGAACAAACCATTAAACGGGGACAACAGTTGGAGAAGCTGTTGGTCCGTGATTCCTACAGCCCGCAGCAATATCCAAGTAACCCCTTGAATGGATACGATTGCACCGCCCTGTTCAGCGGCTCTAGTGCGAACACTGTCAAATCTGACCAAGAGAGAATCTATCGGCTCGTTTCCGTTTCTGGTGAACCCCATCAGCTCAGTGATTGCTTGAACACGAACTTCCTCCCCCAGATTACCGAAATGCTCTTGAAGGGCATGCATCAGGTAGGCGAGGGGGTCTACCGCAACTCCATTCACGACCCCCCCATCCACCACTGCTTGCGGTGGGATCTGACGGGCCAGTTCCTTGGCAGCTCCTTTCAAGACCAACATCACTGACGCAGCCTTACGTGCTGGTTCCATGTCTGAGGCAATCGACCACAACGGAGGAGTTCGCAAGAGATTCCCTTGTCCTGCAAACATGTGGCAAAATATGGCGGATGTCGACACTACGGCCAAAACAAGGACCAGCGCAGAGATCTTTGTAAACCCTACGCTACGCGTGTCATGGGTCTGAGAAGGCATTGAGCCAGAGTCGTCTAACACGTCCTGCGTTTCGATGGCCGTGTCTGCAGCCACGCAAATCACAAGGCTAATGACGAGTCCTGTCACGGTTCCAAACAAGGCCATCTGCAGCACTGTTTGGCCAAGCCTCGACGTAGTGGTCAACCAAGACTTGCGAAAGGCGGTCAGGCCCAGCTGTGTGTCAAGGTGTGCACTGATGTGTGTTCGTGAATGGTCAACCCATAGCTGAGTGAGGGGATGGAAAACTCGATGTAAAAATGCAGGGTACCGCTCAAGGCTACGTGCAACTCCGTAAAGGGAAAATTCCACCTGCATGTCATGTGAACTATGGGTGAGCACCCAACCCATGCTGGTACCCCCACAATCGACGTCACCTAATGTGTCCAGCCAAGGTTCAAGGCTGCGACATGAAAAGGCACCAGCGTCATTGGCCGGACGGGTCCGATCGGTCGTGTTGACCGACAGATCATGCCTTCTGTGTTCGACTGAGGGAGGCCCCATGGCAGCTCCAGCACGCGCGGTGTCATTGGCAAGGTCATTGAACTGTCCTGTCACGCAGTCTCCACGGCACTGGTCTTCTTCCAGCCCTGCAGCACTATGGCGTGCAAACACTGTCGAATGGCCCGGTACAAGACAGGTAGGGCTCTCATGCAAGTGGCTCGCAAGTTCAACGTCGTTCGACGACTGCTCAGGAACCCTTGCAGGAAAGTATGATTCTTCGTACTGATCAATTCGTTGCGGTGTCCAAATTTCCTCACCTTCACAGATGCAAAATTCTTCAACTGCCGAGCTGTTAGCTCTGCAACCATGCTGTTCTGGAGTCATCAGATCAAATGCAGGACCTACGGTCAAAACTGGCCTGCACCTGTCCTGAGACCAAAGCCACTGGCGACCTGAACTGTTGTTGAGTGCACTGCAAACTGTACCATACAGTGCACTGTTCTGTACTCTGAGGTCAATGTACCTGAAAATTGTCCCACCTGAAAACTGCTGCACTGAAGCTCTGCACGATTCGACAAACACTGTCTTGGAACGCCTCAGGCTGTCATAGCCCCGTGTCCGGTGATTCGCAAGTTCAAGGGTTCCAAGAACGTCGAAATCTTTCCAAGCTTCGTGCCATCTCGAGATTGGGCTCAACAATGAACGGGCCCTGGATTGGAACCCGGTCCACTGAAGTCGGCTCTCCCTGACTAGGCGTTTCCAGACTTTTGGATGCCGGATGTGGTCACCTAGAAAGGGAGGTGGAGCATGACAAGCTCCGCTACCAAGTAGCGAAGCAGCGGAACATGCAAGAAGGACAAAGAAGATCACACGCCATGTTTTCACCGATGCGGCCATGAACGTAAAAAAAGGGTCTCGAGACGAAACTGCAGTGGGTCAAGTAGAGGTACCGTTCAAGTCTACTAGTCACTAGAGTTATATAATGTTATATATATAATACTATATGAGTCATATTTAGCTCCACCATCGTCCGCCAACTAGTGCATAGAAATTCCTGCAATCTGTGCAATTCCCTTGAAATCCAGGTAAGTCCCAAGTTGCACTCCAAGTTCATAGACAAACTTGTCGACTCAACATCTATAGTCAATACAGTAGAAATGTGATGACACGACTAGTCTGTTCATCGAACCATTTAAGGTAACACCATGTTTCAACCATCGTCTACCGACCAGACGGTGACTCTATCGACTCTATCGATGAAAACGACACCAGCCGGCTCGGCTCTCTCGGGTGCCCCACGAAGATGGAAACGGCGAAGGCCACCGCTGGGATCGACTGGCGAAGGCCACCGTGCGGGATGGGAGGGGGACCGGATTTGGGGGGAATGCACCGCAAGGGTGTGGACCTCAACGTCATCCGCAAGGATCATGGTGGATGCATCAGTCATGGCCTGAGCCATGCAAACATGTTGAAGCTTTGATCAGAAAATAAACATGTCTCGAGCTGAACATCGCTCCAGTTGCTCGCGAATCACCATGAGTCACCCTGATGCAAGTGCTCGGAGCTCTTCAACTTTGAGGCAACACATGGCAACACCTATCACTTACATAATTCTCAGAAGCTCTGCACACATAGAATCTTGGTCAATGGCCGACATCACATCACCTTGCCTCATGCACGAGTTCGTCCACGCGACGTGACACGGTGACAACGGATCCAGCTGTCGACGCCACACGTGAAGAGTCAACAATGTCCAACTGTCCAACCACATCCAACCACTAACCATGTGAACGAATGCTGAGCGACCCCCTGTTTATACTGCGGGTTGCCCTGAAGGACCCTTAACAATGACCCGTCATGTTGCCAGGCTTGGTTCCCATCCGATGATGGGCAGAGTCGTGAGATCGAGATTGGCATCACTGGCGAAGCTGAGATGAGTACTCAAGAGGCAAAGCAGCTCTCTGTGTCCTGAGGCAACAGGCTCAGTCCCTACGTCGAGGCCTTCCTTCCAAAGGAGGTAAACGAAAAGTAAGTACTCCTCTTCAAGGGATATCTAACAACATCAACAAACATCACAAAAAACTCAAGTGGCTCAAACCTATTGTCAGCTGAAGTCTCCGTCACTCCCACTGAGGATAGGACTGCATGCGAGCCTTTGGGATGCTTGTTATTCCGGTGAAAGCAGTGGCCTCGCGGCACAAACAGTTTGCAGTCGACTACCTGCAGTTGACTCCCTCCATGTTTTCGAGTCATCCTCCGGGCCGTTCAAAATCTTTTGGTGTGGATTCTTCCTTCGGATTTGCTGCTGAAACTCTCCAACTTCCCAACTTCAGCCTTGAACATCAGGTTCACGCACCTGGGCTCCATCAGGTTCAAGCACGGCAGACGAGTTGGGGGGGGGCAAAGAAGTAGGCAAATTGGACTCTCCAAGCGGCAATGCGGCAAGGCAGAGGGGCAAAGGCCTGGCGAGTCCGACACCGACTGACCGTCCAGGGTGACGTGACCGTCGACCCATGTGGAGGACCCGGCGAGCCAAGGCCATGGAGGTGGACGAGAAGCGTAAGCGACGGCTCAAGCGGCGCCAGTGCGGTGCCGGAGTTCTCTGACGTGCGACATGAGTGCAGAGGAAGTGCCCCTCGTGCGCCATGTTGGGGCGCTGTGATTTCACAAGACTCTGTTCTCGGAGCATGGCAATTAGGTCTGGCAGGTGAAAGCAAATCATGAAAACTCAACGAACATCATACAAGTATGGCCCCATTGAATGCCTTCAAACACTGCAGCCCAATTGCCCGGCCAGTCAATGCGCGCCTGCTGCGGAGAGCCATTGTTCTTGCGCTGGAAGAGGCGCGGCGTTTCACGTCGTCTGAGCCGAGGACAGCTGCACCGAGCCAAGCGCGGCCACCGGTGCCAAGGAAAGAAGGATTTTGCGGGACACGAAGGACATGTTGCACTTACATGCAGGTACTTACTTTACGAAAACTATGTCGATGTGTCCAGTACTTGGATCTTGTTTGGGTCTTTCCAGAGGTGCCATCCATCGACCCAATCTCCCTTCGCCCTCGCTTCCATGTGGGCGGCCGAACGGTGCGATGCTCCGGTGACTGTTTTCGCCGGCCATCGGCGGCGAGGCTCCAGTGGTGTCCTGCTTTCAACCATCGCGATCCCAGCGATCGGTTTTGGATGCAAGCAGAAAGACCACTGGATGCGATCGGGTGATCCGCTGGAAGGTACTGATCCCAAGAGCGCCACCGGTGAAGATGCAACATGTGACATGTAACAATATGTGACGATGGAACCCCCATGGCACCAGAGTTGGGGGGGGGTTAGACTTCGTAAGAAAGGTGGCCCTTGTGGGATCCGACAAATAGATCCTTCCACCAATTTTCAGAAACTCTGAGCTTCTGGAAGGGGCGCGTCTAAATGGCATCCGGGCAAGCCAACATGCGAGTCCTTCGGATGTGTGGGCGGTCTTTTTCTCTTCAAAGGAAGCAAAGAAATACATACTTTTGTGAATCAAAGCAATGTCCATTCTTCTCGTATCCATCGCATCCTTGCATGCCCAGAGTCCACACTGCGCCGACGTTACCAGCATTATATAAATGCCATGTTCAGACCAATTGCACGATTTTTGCGGCCTTGATTGGTGAAACACTAGTGCATTGTACAGGGCCAGTGCACGCCTCATTGCGAAGACTTGCTACAAAAATGTCGAACAAAAAGAAAAACACTTAAAAATAAGCCATCGAAACATATCGAAACTGTGGTGCAAAATCCCAGCAATTCAGGCGACATGTTGCTGCAGAATGGCTTCAAAGGGTCCTCTTTCTCGACCTTTTACAAGCACTTTCGCCCCAAGGAGTTCGCACGTTCGCTCCGAGTTCGCTCAGGTCAGCTCGGTCTTGGTGGCTCACAAGAGTGGGTCTGGGTCTGTGTGGTGGGTCACGAATGCACTCAACACGTAAGGACATCGTTCTTTGAGGTCTTTTAGACCGAGAAAGATCTTGAATTACATGTCGTCAAACTTCGGGTTCACGCTTGCGCAGCGCTTGCGCAGCGCTTGCCGCACGCTTGCGCACCATTCCAAAGACCAACGTCTCTACATCATCCCCTGTTAGATGGGACGAACTTTTTCCACGCTCAGGAATGAGAACAGGGGCAACGAACAGGTCAGCGGTTTGCCGCCAGCCCTGAAACGGTGGGCTTGTTTCCAAAGTCAATCAAATCATTCTAGTCAAACGAAAGGTCTCAGCCAAATGGAGTTTCCCGGGCCGGGCGCGGTGAAACTTTTATCATTTTGGCTACACCAATGCACTGTCCTTCCCACCATTGAGACAACTACCAACTGACAGCCAAAAGATGCCAAAAGTCCAAGAGGCAGGCACAAAAGCTATAGGAAGGATGTTCTATGGATTTTCCGTACAATCACACAAACCAAGCGTTTGGGTCTGACCAATGCACGCGACCTTCGCAAAAACATGCTAAGCTGCTAAACCAAGCTCGTACGTCGACTATTGACCTGCAATCCTCTGGGCGACGAGCCGCTAAGCCGATGCTGTCTGTGCCATGGAAGCCTGAGTTGGGTCTCCCTCAAGAGCACTTCCAACGATTTGGAACATAAGCTGGTGATCGGATTCGCACATCCAAAATCAACAGCTCCACCAATCAACACCGCTCTGCTTCCGTGCGCTCCGTCCGCACGTGGTCAGTCCATGTCGTCTGTGTACGGTCCGCCTTGTTCAGTTCTCTGGCCTGCCGGACGGCATGCGGCAGACCGTCGGTTCGCTCGGATCAAATGACACAGGAAGGTCAAAACCGTTTCTGGGTCGAGCGAAGAAGAACGAAGAAGCAGCGAAGAAGACAAAAGTGGGTTTCACGGATCGGATATGTTCTTCACTGATCTTCTGCAACCTTTCAGATGCTTTAAATTAAAATGGTTTAAGCATCTTTAAGATTCTTTAAGCAATTCTTCAGACCGGTATGAGATCCGCCGGGATCTTAACTACGACTCGACTTGGCGGACGAGGTCGCCTTGTCAGCAAATGATGACTTTGCTTTCTTCTCAGAAGCCCAGCCATTTTGCCTTGGGTGATTCTGCGGACTGAACTCTCTACAGAGGTTTTTGCAAGAAGGAATCACAAGCTAAGATGTGAACTCCCGTCCAGCGTCTGTGACCTCAGAACAAATATAGCAGCACACGTTGTCAATGAAGAAGGCAGACTGGACTTCCGGTCCAGGCCTTCCCCAAAGGCTCGCCCTGGTTCTTGGCACGTCTCTGTAGATTCTGGCAAGGAAGAAAGAGCAAGGCCCCAAACCAGCAAAAGGACTGAATTCAACCAGCAAAGACAACGGTCACCCAACAAGCAGCAGTGCCTGAAGTGGTTGTCTACCTGCACCACCAACTTTCCCACAAACCTGAAGTGACAGCACGATGAGAAGCTTATGGCCTTCACACCATCAAGAGTTCAACAACAAGAGACAACTACAAGAGTATACAACACAGAGGACGCTATGCGAAGCGCGAAGAGAAATGATGCATTCTGACACAGCATTGAGGTGCAAGCCTCTAGCAACCAGCTGAGTCACTGATTCGCAACATGTAGGCTTTTAAACACCCGACTCGCGCATCAGCGAAAATGCCAGTCCCACCCAAAAGTCCTTGACAATGAATGTACTCGTCTTCATGTAAGTGTCTCTCTACTTAAGAGAAGTCAATATGTTGGGAACACCCATTAAGCATAAGGTCTCTTTAGTTGTCGACCCCTTCATCCCAGCGTTCCCGTACACGTTCCGGCTCACCAAACGTTGTTTCGGCTCTCGACGAGGCACGCCATGGCCATTCGATAGGCCGCTCTCTCTGCTTCGCAAGCCCTGAACGTCGACCCGATCGAGGGCGATCCGATTTTTCGAAGAACCGCCACTCTGGCGCCGCGGTGGTCCTCGAGGAAGATGCGATCGACGTTTGCGGGGCTCTTTTCCAACTGCGATCGGAATCAATGATGGGAACTCGACTGTCCAAAGCTGGAGATGGCACGGGGGCGGCCACACCTCTCCGGAGTGGCACCTTCTATTGACAGAACCGACCCTGATCCAGTACTGGTCGCATAGTCTGCGAGACTTTCAAAGGCCAAACAAGATGCACCACTGGAGGTGGACCAGTAACTAATACTTGGTAACGAAACATTTGTTGTCCTGCAGTACAAATTCTCCACCTCCTGGTTCTGCATCCTTTTGCAAAAGCAGTAGTGCTCAATCAACAATCGAGCAAGCTACTAGAAAGATCTAGAAAGCAAGGATGTTGAAGACGCCGCACATGAATCAAAGTTTCAAAAGCGCGGCATCCCACATCCTGAATTAAGTACTACACTGCTACCACTGTAGCAGAAGGGAACAACTGGTGCTCAGGAATAAAGCTTTGCAATGTCTTCCCTCAGGGAGACGTTCCGTGCTGCCCAGGTAACGAGATAGCTTCTAGCCAACATATTTTTATACAGCCTTTTGTTGTCAAACTGGAGCTTCTGCAGTGAACACAGTTGACAAACTCAGGAGGGAGGGTCCAAAGTTTGAACATCAAAGAGGAAAACGGAGTCATGTGATGCCATGTTCATGCTGTGACATGAGTTGAGTCACCATTTCACCTGAATTCCTTGTCTCTATACTCCACAAGAAACGAACAACATATTAAATACGATAATTGAATGTGATAAGGAATGGAATCATTTAAATTAGAATGTACTGTATTTATGGAATCTTGCCACCACGGGCAACAATTCCAACGGAAACAACAACCAAAAAAAAGAAACACACACGCACAAACGCACTCCAAAACCGGTCACCCAAGTCGCTTGTGCTTCTCTGCGATGATGGGCCGCTTCAACTTCATCGCAGCGGTCAGCAGGTCGTTCTCCGGCGTCCAGGGATCGCTGCACAAGGCGATCCTCTGGACGGTCTGGCTCCGGGCCTTTTGGATTTCTGGCCTTTTGGTTGCATTTTAACCAACTCACTGATTACAGTGTACATACCAGGACCCTCCTGTCGGGGTGTCCTGGCTGAACTACCCCACACTACCTATAGGCTTCCAGACAGGGCAATCCTTGGGAGGGTCCTGGTATATAAATATATACTGTATACAGTATACACACAGATATTCCAAGTATGCAACATGTCTGCCTTCTGGTTGGTTTTATGGATGAAAGGACTGAATATTTGCAGAGTTGGAAGACCCAGGTGTTTTTCGGTTGGTGACCGGGCAGTGCAAAAAAAGAGCCGACCGGGTCCAACCACAGAGAGAAAATGATGGGAATTGAATGGAAATGCCTAATCTGTTCTTTCTACGTGCCTCACGACGTGCGAATACTTGTCATGGAATATCTTCATGTCTTCTGTCCAGCGTGGATTTGCAGTTCTTCTAGCACGCGAGTTTGTACAGCGAGAAATGTTGGGCTCCCCAAATCCAAGCATCTTTTGAGGAATTTCGAACTCGACCAACTTCATCTCTTTGCACTTCGCTTTGCAGGCCGCGAAGACCTCGTCCGACCGAGTCGACCGAGAGACGGCGTCGCGACCCTCCCCGCCGGGCCTTGTCGACGATCTTCTCCTTAAAGCCGAAGAGGACGTGCCAAAAGAGTGGAGAGTGAAACGTTTCGAGGTGAAACGAGGGAGGGAGGTTTGGAGAGGGAACAGGGAGGAGGAGTCGGCACGAGGTTTCGTATTTCCAGCGTGTCCCATGAGGTTTCCTCACTTTAAAAGGGTCCAACATGGTCCAACAGACAAAAGTAAAACAAGAAAAACATGTCTGGGACCACACTGTTGATGAAGATTTGGTGCGACATCGATCACAGTATATCACAGTCACATCGCGACTTTTGGGGGGGTCTTGTCGCACAGGTGCAGAAACGCCCGGTCTCATGCCAGGTATCATTCTTGCAAATCGCTGCGAGGTCACCGGAGACCCCCTCGGCTTGGGCCAACTTCTCAATGGCCGACTTCACTGGGCAAATCCTTACAGATCACGGCGCCCTTGAACGTTTCAGAACGCTTTCGTCACTTCGTCGGAATCATGTTGGACTGTTCATTTGGGACTCTCAGCCGGGGGTTCTGCAACAAGCACGAGCGAGTACTTGCAGACCATGCGGCAAAGCAATTGGGAAAGTGCCCCCGGTCTTGCCATAGACCATCCTTACAAAATTCTCTGGAGCTCTGGCCGTGCAAAAATATCGTACTAGCACGTAGAGGTTTGTGACACGTAAAATCTGAATGAGGCTTGCCAGGATGACATTCTCTGCAGAACTCTTCACCTAGCAAACAGGGATGTGCATCAAAATTGGGGGAACCTCATGGAACCTCCAAATTCCGGAAAGTCACGTCTGTCCTGTACTGGAGTCTTTCAAATCTCTTAAAGGGATCTTCCTTTTCTTGAGATACACGATACATCCATGTGGGCGTCGTAAAACTGGTGCGTCACCAAGCGTCGGCATCTCCACATATTCGACCAGCTTCAAGGCCTTGGGCCCGTGGAGTTGGCCGCGGAAACCAATGACAGAGGCATGGTGATGTACAGGACTGTACATACCCATACATCTCCTGTGACTAGTATATATGCATATTTCAGGATCAGGATCAGTCTTGTATTGATGAATGTAGCCACCATGGCCAAACTGGGGTGCAACTCCTACTGCAAATGTATGCAACTTGGTGCAACCCGTGCACAATCCCAAAGAGTATTGTGTATATTGGGGATGTATTTCGAGAAGGTTCCATGCATATGCGGCAGGTTTGCCGCCAACATGTCCCGCATTGCGATGCAAATCTCTATCTCTATTAAACTGCTGATGTAATTATCGGGTGATCGGTCGACGCACATGCAACATCGGCGGTCTCAACCCTAAAGGGGGCCAAAGAGGAGAGGAGCCACCAACAGAAAAGGGAGGGTAAGACCGGGTAAGACGACCCACCAGCAGTTCCCCAGCAGTCCTCTCAGTCATTCGCTACTAAGCCTGTGGATGGGGTCCGATCCGAAGAAGCATCTTCTTCGCCATTGGTCTCCAGGCGACGGCCTCAACCTTGGTCAATGCCACGTACTCGCCATTCGGGCCTTTCCACAAGTCCTGCCGACTGAAACCGTGTGGAACTGAGCCTCTGTGGCGAATTCTGGGGAGCCTCTGAAGTCTCCCAAGATGAGACCCACCAAGAATGTGTATCTTCTTGATCCTTTGATGTCCTTTGTTTCAGACACTGTCCCATTCCTTAGACCACTTCGCCAAACACTGTCCAAACACCTCCTGACCTTCACAGCCCCAAACCTCAACCATGAATCAGCATCCCCGCGGCCCCCTTTGGAACATTGAAAGAGCATCTGAGTTTTGAGCATGTTCGTTTTTTCGGGATCATTTTTGCTCAGCTACATGGAAATGAGCCGTACTACACATCTAAACTGTGCTGTTCTCTGGCCCCGAGTAAAGTGAACCTGCTGTAAGGCAACTGTTGATGAACTCTGAACTCTGGTTCTTTTTAAAACATACTTTTGCTAAACCACCAGTTCTGACCTGCTCTGACAGAGGCAAATCCTAGCATGCTGGACTCGATTCTGTGAAGCCATTGCTTCGTCTGACGCGGATTTGTACAGTAATTCTTGGATATCACCAGAAAAGGGAATTTAGTATTAACATTAACCCCGTCAGCCTGAATTTGTTGACCCCCCAGACCGTCCTTCTTCCGATCGATGATGGAGAGGGAGCCATCCTTGTTGATCTGCCCAATGTCACCCGTCCGGAAGAATCGAATGCCATCAATTTCCACCCAATCCTCCTGGCCATTTGCCACCGTCCGGTGACCTTGAAGATCCGGGTCACCCAGAGCTTCGACGGAAGAGTTGGAGATGTAATTCTGAGTGACCAACAGTTCAACATGACTGTTTGGATTGCAGGAAGATATCAAGCGCACAAAGACACATACTGGAACATCTTCCACGAGGTTGCTTTGGGGATCTTTTCAGCCCTTGTCGCATGCTCCTCGTTCTTCTTCTTTAGCTCTTCATTGGGTGCAGTTTCGCTGATGAAGTAGCCCTTGGACACCGAAGTGCCGCCTGGAAAACAGCTGAGATGGGTGTTGGATGGTGGTTTCGCTCACTGGTTCTTAGCATCCTCACACTTCTGAATGAATAGAACACCCACATCTGTTGCCTTAGATCTTAATTTTGCATGCCTCTAGACATTCATTCGTGCATCTCCCGGCCTATGAGAACCTCGCCACGTCTTAAACCAATCTCTGGTTTCTTCTCATCGGCATTGGAGTAACCTCCCTCAGGCCAGTCAGCCAAGCGAAGCACTGTGCAACACGTCGGTACACCAACACTTCCTCAGCGCGAGCTGTCTGACGTGCGGAATGAGTGCAGCTGACGTGCCCTAAGGCCAACAGCTCTCCGTACAGCTGGCTTCTTGCAAGCCCCCAATTATCTGGCTTTACGTGCTAAACACTCTGCAAATATGACATGCAAATGTCTCAGACCATTGCGGGCATTTCTTTCAAGTGAGCTACACTGTCTTTACTCGAGCTATCATGCGCACTTGCCAGACATTCTGGCATACATCAGATTCATCTCACCATTCTCAGATTCATCGTACTCCGTACTTCGGATGAAGTACGACACCCAAAGTACGACACCCACCGCCGTCGGCATACGACACCATCGCCGCCGGTCGGAAGTCTTCCGTCCCAGATACCCGTGGTGTTGTCCGACCACGGTTGGATCACACTCCCGGCGCAGGTCTCGGTGAGTCCGTAGCCCTGACGCACCGGCACGTTGAGCACCTGACAGCGCAGCTTCCACGTTATCGACGCCAGAAGCTTCCGCTGAGGACGCGTGGTGGACG